TTTTTTTTTTTTTTTTTCTCTTAAACATTTGACTAATTTGAATTAGACTTCAAGGAATTTAATCTCTTTTTCTACCCTCGTTTCGTTATGCGTATTCGACTCGAGAAGCTACAAAAGCAATCGTGCGTGATGTCTGGGAAAACTGTTGCGGATGATGATATCGGTGATGTGGTGATGTAAGAGATGGTTGTTCACACCGTGTACCGGTGAATAATTGAAAAAAGTTGATGTCGAGATACGGTGGCCTCTAGCTTGAACCTAACGTGATTCGATTAATTCAGTCAGTCAGTAACCGTGTGTGCATTCTACGAAAGCTGCAGCTTCTAGAATAGGTGTCGTATATCTCATCACGTACATATTATGTGACAGTGAAATTCTAGCCATGGACTCAAGCCATGGATTTTAATGGTGATACGCAAGACCGTGCCAGGTTAAATTTAAATGATATCTCGGCCAACGACAGGGTCCTTTATTTTATTAATTATCCGTATCATCCGTATTAATCAATGTCTCCGTGAAGTTACTGGAAATAACTCGTACACTGCTACTCAGTATTTTGGAGCAGCTATTTTCTTCTTTAGGCAAACTATAATTTCTCACGCATATTTTATGAGAAACATGAATATTGTCATTCTCGAGATGAGTGTACAATATTCATCTTTAGACATAATTAACATATGACGCAGTTTTCTGTACATTCTTCTGAAAGACATGACGCCCATTTGAACATAATTTCAGAGAATCGTCACTTTTTGTTCGAACTCTGCTCCAAAATTTCGAGTCGGAATATACGTCGAGTTTAATACGAAATACTCTTGTAACGAGAATTTTTTCTAATGTCTAGATGATCGTAATAAAAAGGACCTCTCTCGTCGAAGAGGTTCTGCAGCCTGACTTGTGCCTTCTACCAGCGAGTGCAAACATCTAAACGAAATGATTGATGACCAATCGTGTCGTCTCAGCGTCGACAGGCATACTTCGATTTTTCCACGCCCTTTCTCCGTTGTTTTCCACCGGTTTAATTTTCACCGCGCAGGCCGATGAAGGAACAAGGGTGCAAATCACAAGAACGCATCACAGCGAATGATAGAAGCATGTCTGTATTTTCACATATACTGCATCGAGCACGTTCGAGCGGTACAAAAATACATCAAGACCACTGACAATACGTTGCTTTTGGTACAAGGATTTCTTTTCTTTCCCTGATTTGGCACGTCTTCGACAACAAACATCTAGTTTTGCGTAAAATTTCTTGCACGGTGGTTAGGATTTAGGTGAAAAAAAACAGCCTGATAATTTATTTATTTTAAAAGAATTTAGCTTACTCTATTAAGAGTCACAGTTAAGGCAATCTCTTACTTATGTGAAATTGTATTCTTTTTAACTCGTTGGAATTACGAAAAGAAGTTCGCCAAGGATTCGCTTAACATCTCTTTCATCTAGATTTTCTACTTTTGCGAAAGTTAAAGAAAATTGAATATTGAACTTGGTGAATCGTTCTCTGGTTCTCGATGGATTTTACGCGATGGAGGGTTAATTCTATGCCACCGTATTGCCATTTCAGCCATTCAGATGCCAGCTCAAATACACGCAAAGCGCACGAGTCGCGAGGCACGTTGATGCAAAGAAAACACACACAAGCTGAACTTCGTTCCAAAGCGCGCTAGATTTCTCGCTTTAGTTCCTCAGCTAAAAGCGCGAGAAAACCGAAAGAAAGTCTCGTTGTTAGTTTTTTTAATTAGAAATTACGCTTAACTTTCAAAAAGTTCCCGATATTATTTGAAACACCGCACTTATACTCGTATG